AGAGCCAGTTGTCCCCTTGTTTTACGTTGGCTAATTTACCAGATGGAGGTCATTTCTGTTGTAAGGTGTGTGTAACCCAACCCTAACTCTGGTCTGAAGTTAGCTATTCAACGGATTCCTTAGTAAATAATTTTTGGTCACTGAAAAAAAAACAAACCAATTTTAAAAATGACACAACAACAAAAAAGTGTTTTATAGTTTTTTTGGTAAAGCTCTTTGGTCTCTCTAGTTAGGTTTATTCTTAAGTATCTCAATTTTAGGTTTGCTGTTGTAAGTGGTATTGCTTTCTTAGTTTCCTTATCTGTATTTTCTTTGTTACTATAGAGGAATCTTAATGACTTTTGTGTATTGATCTTGTATCCTGCCACTCTACTAAATTGGTCTACTGGCTCTAATAGTTTTTTGTTGAGTTCTAGGAGTTTTCTGAGTACACTACCATATCATCTGCATATAGTGGCAGTTTCACCATCTCTTTGCCAATCTGGATGCCTTTTATTTCCTTGTTGTATTGCCCTTCCAAATATTTGCAATACAATAGTGTATAGGAGTAGTGACATTGGAAATCGTTGTCTGGTTCCTGTTTGCTAGGAAAATGCTTTAAGTCTTTCTCTATGACAAGTTTGGAAGCAGGAGTGGATCCACTTCCTAAATAACATGCTTGCAGAAACTCTATGAACTTTAATAAATGTCGATAGGTGTAGAGGGGCTTCAGGGCTTTTGTTCATAGAGTCAGTATGAGTCGTGTTTGACTCAAAGGCAATCAACAACAACAACTATTGAGGACAATATTGGATCTTGGTTTTTCCTTAATAGTTCTTATAAAATTGACCTTAAATATAAGAATTTATCTCTGAGCTACTTGGTAAATTCATTAAGAATATGCATATATATCTTCATTGCTTTGAATTGGTTTCAACTCATAGTAACCCTCTATTCATTTTCTAAAAATATAGATCTTAACAAGATTGCCCAACTCTCTCTCATGAAAGAAACAGGTGGTAGATTGAATCATTAGAGACAATCAACATAGCATACCACTTGAAATGCCAACGGCAAATATAGATAGTTTTATGTCCTCTTTTTTTGATATGTTGTTATTTTTGTCCAGTCAAGTCAGAACCAACTCATAGCTGATTCTCTAGTAGGTTTTCAAAGGCTGTAAACTGAAGGGGAGAAGACTGCCTATGTGAAGCTAAGCTATGTGCATCATGCAGTCTCAGCCTTAGGATGTTCACCCTGCCACCTCTCATATGACTACACTCATTCCTTCACTATGATGACTCCTTTGTGGTCACCTCAGTTCTGTTTCCATCAAGTCAACTATGACTCATAATGACAATGAGTGTGTCAGAGTGGGAACCATTGGTCTTTCCATGGCTGATTTTGCAGAGGTAGATAAGAAGGCCTTTCTCTTGTGCCTCTGCTTGAACTTGAACTACCCATTTAGCAGCCAAGCACCTTTACAAATTGCACTACATAGGATTTTTGCAGGCATACTCATTCTAATTCTAAGCTACTTTTCATGCTCCTTACTGCAAAAGCTTCTCAAATATGCCGGTGGATTCCATGAATGCTGTGAAATCAGAAGCAACTCATAGCTGACCCTCGAGCAGGTTTTCAAGGCTGTAAATGGCACAGGAGTAGAATACCATCTTTCTCCCATGGAGCTGTTGGTGAATTTGAACTGCTATGATATGTCACCTTTGAGTTAGCAGCACTGTTCTCTACAGACTATGTCACTAGAGCCCCCAAAGAGTAGCATTAAATTTTGATAACTGTTAATGTCCAAGAGTCCCAGGTCCTTTCTAGGATCAAGACGACCTTTTGGCTTAAAGCCCCTTTTGCGGAGGTTCTCATCCTTGACTGTACTTGGGAAATCTCCTGAGATGCTGTAAAAAACACAGATGCTTGGGACTCATCCACAGAGACTGGGATTTAATTGGCCTGGGGGATAGCCTGGATTTTCATTGGTTTGTTTTTTAAAGTTCTCCTGGGAATTGTAATGTTCACGTAAAGTTAAGATCTCAGTACCAATACTACCCACTAAGTAAAGAAATCATTCACTTGAGTTTAGATACTATATGCAAAATTGAAGGCCTTCAAATGAGCATTCACTTATTTAGTGATTATTATTATTTTTATTATTTTTTCTAATTTTTATTGGTATGCATGTAATTATTCATATACACTGTATTTCATTCGTGTACATAGTGTGCATATGTGTGCTTGTGTGTGTGTGTTTCACACTTTTCTTCACTGACATTATGTTTCATATACTACATTGTGCGGTTCCCTCCCCACATTGTGTTTTATAAAATGAATCATCATTGGACTATACATACATAGTTAAAATATTATTAGCACTTTGAGTGCTACTTTTTAAGCAGAGATATTTTGACATTAATTTTTCAAGTTTACTGCATTTTCTGTTATTATTTCTGTTATTATTTTATTATATAATGTTAGCTATAGAAAATATTATTTACAAGTGAGAAGCTTTCTGTGGAGCAAACATTTTACTTTAGGGTAGTGGTTCTTGATCCTGACAGCACTTTGGAAGTATCCAGTGTAGTGAGTCTTACCGTAAAACTAAGTCAGTCAAGCCTAGGACCCTCACACTGCTATACTTTAAAATACGTTAGGGAGGAACTGAAGTATTTGCTGCATAAGATCAAGGACTGCAGCTTTCAATATGGATGGAAGCTTAACATCAAGAAAACAAAGATTCTTACCACTGGGCCAACTAGCATCGTGATGGATGGAGAAGAGATTGAGATTTAGTTTCACAGCTTTAGTTCACTTGGCTCCACAAGCAAAAATTTTTATACCAGCAGCCAGTAAATCAAGAATCTAATTGCATTGGGAAAGTCTGCTGTGAGGGACCTCTCCAGAGTACTGAAAAACAACGTCAGTCTGGAGACTAATGTGCACCTGAACCAGGCCATAGTCTTTGCAGTTGCTTGCTATGCATCAGAGAGCTGGACAATGACTAGGAAGGACAGAAGGAGAATTGATGCCTTTGAGCTGTGGTGCTGGAGAAGAGTTTTGAATATACAATGGACCACCAGGTGAACAAATAGGTTCGTCCTAGAGAGGGTGAAGCCAGCCTGCTCCTTGGAGGCAAGAATTCTGAGGCTTTGTCTGACATACTTTGGGCATGTTACAAGGAGGGACTGGTCCTAGGAGAGAGATGTCATGCTTCAAAAGATTGAGGGACAGAGAAAGAGAGGGAGGCCATCGATAAGATGGATTGATACAGTGACTGAGGTATTGAGGGTAGGTGTATTGGAGAAAATAAATTTGGCACAGGCTAGAGCAGGTTTCAAGGCTGATGTACATAGGGTCACTATAAATCGCAAGTGACTTGATGGCACATAACAACAACAACAACAACATAAGTGATTCTAACATACCTTGTTTGAGACTCAAGTAGTTGTTGTTGTTGTTGTTATGTGCCATCGAGTCGCTTGGACTCATACCGACCCTACACAAGAGCCCTAAACACCATTCTATCCTGTACCAACCTCACCATCTCAAACACACTCATTCCCAATCACAGAATCAATCCATCTCATTGAGGGTCTTCCTCTCCTGTACCATCCCTCCACTCTCCCAAACATGATATCCCTCTCCATGGACCAGTTGCTCCTTGCAACATGTCCAAAGTATGTCAGACAAGGCTTCAGAATCCTTGCCTCCAAGAAACACTCCAGCTTCACCCTCTCCAGGATAAACCTGTTTGTTCTCCTTTCAGCCCATGGTATATTCAACATTCTTCTAGCTCAAAGGCATCAATTCCCTTTCTATCATCCCTGTTCACTGTCCAACTCTCTGATGCATAGCACGTAATTGCGAAGACTATAGCCCGGATCACACACACCTTAGTCTCCAGCCTGATGTCGTTGCTGTTCAGTACTCTTGAGAGGTCCCTCACAGCTGACTTTCCCAATACAATTTGTCTCTTGATTTCCTGGCTGCTGCTACGAAGAGTGTTGACTGTGGAACCAAGCAAACTAAAACTGTTAACTATCTCAATCTCTTCAACATCCATACTGATGCTACCAATTGGCCCAGTGGTGAGAATCTTTGTTTTTTTGATGTTGAGCTTCAATCCATATTGAAGGCTGCAGTCCCCGACCTTTTGCAGCAAGTGCTTCAGGTCCTCCTCAGTTTCTTCAAGTATGGTTGTGTCATCTGCATAACACAGGTTGTTGATAACTTTTCCACCAATTCTGATGCCACATTCCTCTTCGTACAGCCCAGCATCTTGAATGATCTGTTCTGCATACAGATTAAAAAGGTAAGGAGACAAAATACATCCCTAATGGACCCCCTTCATGATTTTGAACCATGTAGTGTCTCCTTGCTCTATTCTGATGACTGCCTCTTGGTCCAAGTATAGGTTTCGCATAAGCACAATTCAGATATTCTGGGATTCCCATTCTTCTCAGAGTCAGCCACAGCTTGTTGTGATCCACACAGTCAAAAACCTTT